CTAAGATAATTAAACAACTATCAAAGGACAATCCAAAGTTTGTCGAGGATTGGTCGTTTATGAGTAGTTGGAAGCATGATATTGGATGGACCATATCGACATTATTATAAATAGATAAGATTCTATTGAGAATGAGTTGTCATATGGTAAGTATGGAAAGGTTTCCATATTGGGAGTTGGATATTGAGAATCTATGTCTAGAATAGAAATTTTTATGCAAAAGGATGTTCAAAGAAATAGAGACATCACATCTATGGAATTTTCTTGTAACAATTTCCGATAGAGAGCTTTGTAATTCATTGGCAATAGTCATTGTGACCTTAGTGTAGTGACATTACAAAAGGATCATTGCATAAAATGTTAGAATCTAGCATATTCTATAAGTGGCAAGAATTTGATATTCTTACACTTGTGATAAGGATTGGGAGTTGTGAAATGAGTATGATTGGAAATGTGTTCATTTGATCTATTTCACAAAGTAAGGACCATAGGTAAACATTGTGTGCATGCTAAGAGCATGGGACAAGTATAGTTATAGTTCAAGTAAGAAGTTGATTACCAGAACCGACAAATAATGAGTAATCGATATGGTGATAAATAAAAGGTGTTTTATTTATACTCAAAGGTTTGAGGCCATATGGGATTAGTATTATCCTTTTGTTTCACCTTGCATGTTTTGACTTCCTGAATAATTTAATTGGTTAAGAACAGTCAAATTATTTGAACAGGCCACAGTCGTTCATATGTTGGAAGTAGGTAGGAATGAAGACTGTCGTGAATTGGTGTGTGGATTGTCTAAAGAGCATTAGACATAAGCAAATGTTTGCTGCAACATTCATGAGTGCTTATGAATATGATTTGAGAATTGGATTAAACCCACGCTCACTTGGATCACTTCATGGATTTTATCACGAGTGATTGGTGAGACGATAACATCTTATATTCTTGAAACCGAGATGTGTGAGTTGTATCTTGCAAGTCGGTTGCACATTGATAATATGTAAACGCACCGGTAACTCGGTGTTATAAAACATATTGTTGCCTGTGATTTGTTGAGTGAGTGCAAGCGAGCATTGAGTCAAAGTTTATCCGTTCCTTTTATCCAAAGTAGGATAAAAGCGATATTTGTGGGCCCCTCGATGATTTAGTGATGGAAACTAAGCGCTTGGACAAGCCGGGACTAAATTAATGTGTTCAATTGTAGTCTGTTGTCAGTCTTCATAAATCTGAATTCGGGAAACAACACATAGACAGAGAGAATGATTTAGATCCATGTTTCAGTCTATACGATATCTAGAATGGAGGAATATATGATCCCTTATCTAAAGGACACGCCTATCTGATAAGATCAGAGTTGACAGCGGCTTTAGAAAGCTACGATTGCAGATCAGGATCTGAATTCATTCGCGGAATAGGTATTAGACTTATCAAAGTGGGAGACTGTTGGATTGGTGTCTAAGTCCATAACTATATTGGTATGTACTTGACCCGATGGTGCATGGTCCTTTTGGGTTGCCTTCACCAAAGCAACTTGATATGATGAATTATGGAGAGAAAGGATTAAATATGATTTATTAATATATTATGATAATAATATATTAAAGGATAAATCATATTGTTTAATTAATATTAGTCAATAATTAATAAGAATTAAGTTTATGGCTAAAAGAGATTAACTAAACTTAAGGGACTTGAACTGTCAATCGTATGATAGTTGAATATTGAACTAATGGACTCCATATTAAAAGGGTGGACAAATTCTATGGGGAAACCCATTAGAAATCATCCTAGGGCCTTTAAGAAAGGAGTCCATGGGTTGCTTAGGGCTTAAGCATCCAAATTAGGGTTTCCTTGTTTGATAACCCTAATAGCTTCACTATTTAAAGATCCCTAGAGCACCAAAAACGTGGGCAAGTAACTCCTTAGGGGTTTGGATGGTTTTTGGGTGTCTCCTTCTCTTCTCTTCTTCATCCTCTTGCTCTTGGTGTTTGTGAACCATTAGAGGAGTGACATTTGTGACTCTAAGCTTTCTAAAGTCATTACAAGAAGGATTTGGGATTATTATTGCTACATAACAATCAAGGTATGATTTAAACCCTAATTCATATGTTATATTAATTATCATATACTAGATCTAGGGTTTAAAGTCTTGGATGAATAGCATGTACAACAAAGAAACCTAGATCCAAGCATTAGGGTTGCATGAGCACATAGGATGTTCTTATGGATAAAACCCATCAGTTGGGACACATATTTACCCTTGGCTGAGTTTTCCTATAACAACAACCATCACTCGAGCATTGGTATGCCACCCTTTGAGTTGTTGTATGGAAGGAGGTGTCGGACCCCCATTTGTTGGGGCGAGGTAGGGCAACGTGTGATGGGTAGAACAGAGATAGTGCTTCAGACGATAGAATAGATACAACAGGCCAGACAGAGGTTATTGACCGCTCAGAGTTGCCAGAAGAGTTATGCAAATAGGCGACGATCCAAACGCGAGTTCCAGGTCGGTGACTTCGTGCTCCTGAAGGTATCTCCTTGGAAATGAGTGATCCGATTCAGGAAGAGGGACAAGATGGGACCCCGGTATACTGGTCCGTTTAGAGTGATCGCGAGGGTGGGCAGGGCAGCATATCGCTTGGACCTACCCGCGGAGTTGGACCAGATTCATCATACCTTCCACGTGTCGCATTTGAGGAAGTGTATAGCTGACGAGTCGGCAGTGGTACCATTAGAGGATATCCAGGTAGACGCGAGTCTGAATTATGCTGAGAAGCCGATCGCAATCTTGGATCGGAAGATCAAGGTTCTGAGAAACAAGGAGGTACATCTGGTTCTGGTTCAGTGGCAACATCGGAAGGGGTCCAAGATGACTTGGGAGTTAGAGTCGGAGATGACAGGGCAACATCCAGAGTTGTTCGCGGAATGAGACTTCGGGGGCGAAGTCTGGTTCTAGTGGGGGAGAATTGTAACACCCCGAGATTCAGGTACATTTATTCCACCCTTATTCTTTGTCAATTGGTCATGATTGGTCCTGGAGTGGAGGAAGCCTTGCAAGTGAGTATGTTGGGCGTACCAAAGGGGTACGCTGCGCGTACTCATGCGCTTATTTTGGATACGGAGTCGCTAAGGTACGCTGGGCGTACCCATAGTTACGCCGGGCATACCCGGCCCAGATGCAAAACCCTAATAAGACTTGTGCACTATTTAAAGGCTGCTAAGGCTCATTTCTCAGCCTCTATATCAGTGAGTAAAACCCTAAGAGAGATACTTCCATCGTCCTTAGTAAGTGTGTGTGTTCTTGGAGATAATAGTGCCTTGGTGTGTTATTGAAGAAGGAAGAAAGGAGCTTATGGAGGCTAAAAGCTTGAAGTGTATGTTTGGATCTAAGATCTACAGAGAAAGGAGCTGCATTTAGAGGTATAAAGTTCAAAACTTTCCTCTTATTTTTGGCTGTTGTTGCATGTTCCATTTCTAGGGTTAAAAACCCCAAAGGTGGAGACTTTATGAGTGTAAGGTGCTCCATGATCCGAGATCTATCCCTTTTTAGTAGTATTTGTGGTCTAGATCCATAAAGTTCCCATCTTGGTCGTTGATATGAGGTCATGCTTGAGTTCTATGCTTTCTAGGGTTAGAGAATGAAATGTTTTGGGTGCTAGTGACTTATTCAGCCATGCAAAGGCTTAAAGTCATCGACTTTATGGTTTATGAGGCTTAGAAATGGTCAGATCTAAAAGTTGGATGTGGATCTTAACTGTTTAAGACCCCAAGAGCTGAAGGACTAAAACTAAGTATTACGCCGGGCGTAATTCCAGTACGCGCAGCGTAAGGGGTGGCGCACCCTGATCCTCTGAAGGTATCGGTTACGCCCAGCGTACATGTTCGGTACGTGCAGCGTAACCCGAAATGTTGACTTTTGTTGACTTTTAGGGTTTGGTCAACTTTAGGGTATTTGAGCCATGTGAGGGGTAAAATGGTCTTTTACCCTCATGAGAGTATTAAGAGAAGGGATGGTCTAGCCTTGGGAAATGTGTTGATGTCGAGTGTTTATTTCATATGATTAGGCGAGGCTAGATCTTATCCCACGAAGTCTGAGATTTCCGAGATTTACGAGTTAGCGAACTACACGAGGTGAGTCTTCTCACTATACGTTACCTAGAGTGGTATTTATGTGGACCGGAGGGTCTTATGTGTTATGTATGAGATTATGTGAATGTATGTGTTATGTGATAATTGTATGTTATATGATTGTGTAGACCGGACCGGAAGGTCCAACGATACAGACCGGACCAGAGGGTCTAACGATTTAGACCGGGCCGGAGGGCCCAACGAGCTACGGGACTGGAGGGTCCTACTGAGACACATCGACCGGAGGGTCGTACAGTAGCCTCGAGTGGCGTATGTATTGTATGTGGTATTTTGGGGAACTCATTAACCTCTATGCTTACAGTTGTTGTGTTTTGTGTCTCAGGTACTAACGAGGACCGTGGGAAGGCGCCGACGTGACCCGTACACATTAGAGAAAGGATCTGATTTCTTATGATCTTGGGAAGTGTTATATTTTGATAATTATTGGTGAATACTTTTGAGAATGTTTTTACTTAAATTTGGTTGTTGAAAAACGAAAATTTTGTTTTGAAAATCTCGTCGTTACAGAGATGTAGAACAAATGGAAGAAGCGGTAGTAGAAGTTGTTCCAACTCAAGTGAAAGGTACAGGTGGTGTTTTTCCAGGGTGGTCAATGTTGTGTTTTATTATGGGTTTATGTTTTGGTTTATATTTTAAGATAATGTAGTGGGATATGTAGTCACTATGCATGATGTTGTTTCTTTTGCAATGTAATGAACATTTTACTTATGTTGTATTGAATTATTGTGAAATCGAAGTACAACAACTATGAACCACATATGAATAATAAAATTGTCAATAACCAAGGCTAACTTACACAACCAAACTTGAAAGAAAATATGACATTGACCAATTGTAACCATTGCTTAATGCCCTTGCTTAATTACCAATAATTGTTTACAAAATATGAACCAATATAAGTGGATATGTACCACCATTTACAAAATATAAACCAAAAGATGGTATGAAAAATATGAACCAAAAAATGGTATGCAACAGTTTACATAGTACCACCTTTTACAAAATATGAACCAAAAGATGATAACCCCTATCCCTAACCTATAACTAATGCCTTATCTTCACACATTCCTATACCAAAAGGGTCAACTACCTTCTTTTTCAGCTTCTGAAGAATGATCCTCTCTGAGGGTCTCCTTGTTCTTTGTTGCATACTATTCCCAAAATTCCCTTGTTGTACTGGATCATTCACTGGAACACCTTCTTCATTTCCTTGAACATCTTCAGCTTCAACTTCAACTCCTTCTCCACCTTCATCATTTCCTTGCACATCTTCAGTTTCAACTCCTTCTCCATCTTCTTCTTGTCCATCTCCTTTATCTCCTTCTCCATCTTCTTCTTGTCCATCTCCTTCATCTCCTTCTCCATCTTCTTCCCCATATTCTTCTTCTCCATCTCCTTCTCCTTCTTGTCCATCTCCACCTCCTTCCACTTCATCTCCTTGCCCATGTCCTTCTTCTTCTTCATTACCTTTTCCATCTCCACCTCCTTGTCCATGTCCTTCTTCTTCTTCATTACCCTGTCCACCTCCTTCCAGTCCACCTTCAACATTGGCAGCCTAAAACAGAAAAAAAAAATAGTAAAAAACACTTGATCATATACATAAACACTAAATGTAACCTTACCATATATCCAAACTCTTCTAAATGAGGTTTTGTAATTCCAAGGCATCTCATAATGTCTACATTAGTGTAACCTTATTTCCTCAACTCTATAATTTGTTGTGTATTTTAATCCATATCTGCCATATCCAGCCCATCTCCATCACTCATCACATCTACATCCACCATCTCTTCATATTTATATTCTTCATTGACCCTTTTATGGGGTGATACTGTATTTGAGGTTTCATCTCTTTCAAACCAGCTATGAAAGTCACCCCCACCTCTGGGTACCCTACCACCTCCTCTATTTCCCCTTATCTCCCTCTACCACGTCTTGTCCATTGGATTAGACTAGGGTCCAATCTTGGCCTGCCTATTTTCTTCTTGGGTTTAGGATCTGGTTCAACATGTGGATTTTTATAGGTTTTCTTGTTGTGCCCCTTTTGTTGACAGTTTTGACATTGGACAGTTCTGCCCTTTGAGGACACTTGAGAGAACTTGTCATCCCTCTCTGAGTCATGCCTTTTCCTTTTCACAGTAGGCCTGCCTGGCATCCTCCTCTCTAAGGGGGGGGGGGGTAAGGGCTTAATATAAGGAGCTTCTGTCCATAAATTGCTGCCATTAACAGGTAGAATGTTAGAACTATAATTTGAAATGTACATTGCCTTACCAAACCACTTGCTGATAAATGTCTTTGGATCCTGATGAGTTAACGATAGATGCTTGGGCATGGACACGTGGTATCCCGGATACATCCCAAAGTCTACATGCATAACTCTTTTTCTCTATGCTGACTCCAGATGATTCAAGACTATTTATACCTGTAAATTCATTTTTTCCACTAGGGTGTACCCTCCAAAACCTGCAAATAAAAGTTATTACTAAATTAGCATAAAAGTTATTAATAACTTAGCATAAATGTATACAAAACAAGGAGAACTTACTTCAATTCCTCACCAAATTCTTCCATTTTCTTAATTACAGATGGACACACATCTCCTTCCCATTTTTCAGCTAACTCCCTGAGGTTGTAAAACATGTCCATCATATATAGCCTTATCTCTTCAAGAATGGTCAGTAGTGGCTTCTTCCTAGCATCAAGTATAACTGCATTGAAGCATTCTACCATACCATTTTCTACAGCCTCACAGGCTAATCTAGTGGAAAAGAAAGCCCTGCACCATGTATTTAGCTCCCTTGCCATTAGATGTTCATAAGCACCTGGGCTAATCTGTCTAATCTCATCCATGTGATTCTTGAATTTCCCCTCTACAGTTGATTTGGTAGCCTTCCAGAATAGGTTCCTTAACTCAATTCCACTATATACTTTTCTGAAGTTGGTATAGATATGTCGTGCACACTGTCTATGCTCAACATATGGTAACACCTCCTTTGTTGCCTCAAGAAGACACATGCCCCTTCCTGCATCTATTCCAAGGTAACCTCTAACAACTGAAGGAACCACTTCCCGTTAAACTTATTCTCAATGTCAACTACAACCCAAGCTATGGGAAAAACTTGATTGCTTGGGTCCCTACCTATGGTTGTTAATAATTGTCCCTTACACTGCCCTTTCAGAAAAGATCCATCAATTCCTACTACCCTTCTACAACCCATCTTCCACCCTTCTTTGATTGATTTGAAACATATGTACATCCTTTTGAAAATAGTTGCACCATCATTGTTGTCTTCAACACAAATTTTAATGGTGGTGTCTGGATTGAATCTTAGGAATTCACCACCATAATCCCATACCCTTGCATAGTGATCACCTAATTTTCCCTCAATCATGGACATTGACCTACATCTAGCCCTATAACTCCTTACCCATGAAATCTTAGTGTGAAATTTGTGTTGAACTTTTTCTTGGATTTCCTTATCTTTCAAATTAGGTGTCCTAATAAGTTCTTTAAGGAATTGTCTAGCTAACCATGTTGGTCCCATAAGTTTTCCATTGTTAAAATTCTTGACACATATATGATGTGGATACATTTTCTTTATTTGGAATGACATTTCAATGCTCATCCAAGAGGCTTTAACATAATAAGGACAACCGAATTTCTCATGATCACTAGCACACACACAATGTAGTCTAACACTATCACATTTATTAAACCTAATCTGATAACCTTTAGATATGGCATGATTTGTTAAACAGAGTTTAAGTTGCTGTGGAGATTCATACCTTTCTCCCTCTTGAGGTTTCATTCTATTCCATTTCACGTTTGGATCATGTGTGGAATATTTAAACTGAGCTTCACTATCATTTTCCTCTTCATCCACAACTTCATCTACATTTTCTTCCTCCTCCTGTTCGTCATCCAAAGGTTCTTCTTCCACGGGTGCTTCATCATCTTCAACATTCTCGAATAATGGGATTATGAAGTCTTCATCTTCATCGTCAAGAGACAGTGAGTTCAAGAACTCATCTCTACATCTCCTACTATGTTTCTTTAGAAGGTCTCCATCTAGTTCCATGTCGATTGTGTCAAAGTCCAACACACCTTCCATCTTCAAGGCTCCAACTCGTATCTCCCTCGGACTCGAATTCGTATCTCCCTCACAGTAAAAACCCTAGAATCGTCGCGGTAAAAAGAGAGGTTTTTCCATCTCGATTAACCCTTCTTCATTTAATGATCTCCTCGTCATCTTCCAAGTAAGCGTTAGTAGCCACATCAACTCGATTACCGACTATTAAATGAGTTACCGGCAGAAAAGGTCAATCGGGTTAATAAATGCCAGTAATTCAGGCTTTTGTGTCAAAAAAAATTAGTTTGGGACTTTCGTGTCAACTGGATGAAAATATCGGGATTTTACTGTATATATCCCAATTTAAAATGGCAATCAACTATCGTTATGGTTCACGATTTTGGTCTTTTTTTATATTTTTACCAATAAACATACCTAAATTTTTCAAAAAAATATCAATATGACCGGTAATGAAAGCTTACTTCGGTTTCTAATGACTTCTTCGGTGTCCGAGATACTATATTAGGGTAATGATGTTTTTCAAGTGTACGTATTTACTTATTTTTTGTTGTACATATTTGACGAATAAATTTATATTAATATCAAATTTAGTTAAATTTAAAAAAAAAACTATTTTAAGTGTTTCTAAAACATAAATACATTTTTTTTTCAATGTCCTCATATATATTTTTTCCAATGTACTCTTACATATATATATATATATATATATATATATATATATATATATATATATATATATATATATATATAGTTTTCACATATTAGTGTTTTTTAATATGTCTTCACAAATTTGATTTCTATTTTTTTACTTATTTTTTTCCAACTATTTAAGGTTCTAAAAACTCTTTTTTTACATATTAATTTTTATAAAACTATAAACAAAAATACTAAATTTATATTAAAAAGGCTATAAGAAAAAGTTTGGGCTACCATTTATATATTATTACAAATCGGAAAAATATAATTAAGTTGATCATGTTCTATCCAGATTCATAATGAAGAAAGTTGAATTGGGTGTTTATTGGTCCATTAGGCCAAATTTGGAAATCCTAGTCCAATATGGACTCAAACTGGGATTCTTAGGGTTTTCAGACTCTTTGATAAACATAATTGATGAATCTCAATGAGCATTGAGTGAGATTTACTTAAAGTACATGTTTTCCAATAGATGAACGATTACACAGGAATAAAATTTCCTAGCTAAAATGCTAGTTGTGATATTATCGTACCAAAAGACATTTGGTCTAACGATGTAGGAGTTCACTGACAAGTGTTCTTATCATAAGGTTAAAGACTCAAGTTTCGTTTTGGACGAAAATTTGTAGATTTATAACTAAAGAACTAGTGGTGTACAAGTTGTTAAAAAAGATTTAAAAATAAAAAAAAGTATGATAAATTTGAGATTTTAAAATAAAAAAGTCATTTTTTTTCTATAATAGTTATTTTTGTTATTTTTCTATAAATATTGCAACAAAAAGTGTTTGAATTCTTTTTCACATGTTATGCATGGCTCTGTGTTATATATATATATATATATATATATATATATATATATATATATATATATATATATATATATATATATATATACTAGGCAAATATCCATGCGTTGCGCAAAATACAATAATATATTTGAAATCTTTATAAATATATGTTTTTAAATATATCATTGATGTTGTTATTAGCTCTTATATAAAAAATCTTATAATAAGTTGTTATAAACATTGTTTGTTTTGAATTATATAATAATATAGACATCTTTTAGAATTTTATAATCTCGATTGTTTCAATGGCCTCTACATGCATGTTACTCATGGATAAAATTAAAAAGTGTTTAAGTCATTTTTGGTCACTTAACTTTTGATTTTGTGCTCATTTGGTCACTTAACTCTTTTTAAGTTTTAAAGTATCATCAAATATTTGACTTTATGCTCATTTAGTCACTTAACTTTTTTTTGGTCACTTAAATTTTAGATTTTTGTTCATTTAGTCACGTAACTTTTAAAATTATGCTCATTTAGTCACTTAACTTTTGAAAAAATTTAAAAGTTTTAGTGACTAAATGAGAACAATTTTAAAAGTTAGGTGACTAAATGTGATAAAACCAAAAATTAAGTGACTAAATGAACACAAAACCAAAAGTTTGATCACCTTTTAAAACTTAAAAAGAGTTAAGTGACCAAATAAACACAAAACTAAAAGTTAAGTGACTAAAAATGTCTTAAACCCAATTAAATGTAATACATGGTTTAATGATGTTTTTAGTTGTTGTTATGGTTAATTAATTTCAAAAAGTTTATTTGCTTAAAAATTTAATTTCTATCACTGTAATTAATTAAAACATCAAACATTATTGTTGTTTTTAAAGGTAACGATATAATTTTTGTATATAATTTTACTTTTAACTTTTTTGTTGTAAGTTTAAAACATCCCAAAATATGCTCCCAAAAATTTCATTTTTAAAATAGATAAAATAGTGTTTCCAAATATCATCCATACATCTCAACAAAAAGCAATGTATCAAATTTCATAAAAATCAGAGTAAAGTATCATATGTGGAAACCTGATGGTGCGTGCGATGCAGTCGACCCGAGCTCTTCCGTTTGCAACCGGAAGTACCTGAAACATAAATTGAAAACAGTAAGCACAAAGCTTAGTGAGTTCCCCAAACTACACCATACCATACATAATAAATCACATACTAGGCCCCCGCCCGACATTGAGCCCCACTCATTTTACAGATCTGTTATTATCTGGCCTCGCCTATCACTGGGTCCCACCCGCTATACACATACAATCAATATCACAAAATCATTTTAACACATATAATGATCATAACACTAGCATATGTTCCAGTCCTCATGCCCAAATCAGGACAATGTCGTTGATTGGTGGATCATACATTTGTCCCCTGCCTAAGCCCCGATTAATTTAGCTAATGGTAGAGGTACATGCACCGTTACTAGAGTTGGCATGTGCCCATTTGTCACCGGGAGAAATTTCCACACATGTTCCAAGCTGGACACTGGATAATAGGGCTAGTCCAGTGTAGGTTGGAACCTTAGTGGGGAGTTGGATTGTATGTGTGTTCCACTCCTTCGGGCATGTAGCTTTCAACTACTGATGCCTACTTCGCAAATTATTATGTTTTTTTTTATTCGCACAATAACTCAACCCTATATATATATATATATATATATATATATATATATATATATATATATATATATATACACACACACACACACACATCTTCTAATAACCAAAACCAAAAAATTTCAAATGTCTCTTTTTTAAAAAGCCTATTTGTCACGTGGTATTTTTCTACACATTCTCCAGTTTCCAAGTTATTTTTTTTGTTAACATATCTACTTTGATACAAAATTATCTTAATAACAATATAACATAGTATTTTCAAAATTATTGAAGATAATCTTTTAAAAATACTAAAAAATCTTAGATTGTAATGTATCCCAACAATTCAGAGATATAGTATCCTTTTACCTTATTTACCTAATCGCTCGTTTATTTTTCATATCATATATATGGATTTTTTTTACAATTATTAATATTTTTGTTTATATAGATTTTTTATAAATACAGACCATGGTTTCCACGGGTTATAACATATATATATATATATATATATATATATATATATATATATATATATATATATATATATATATATATATATATATTACCTATAAATACAAACCATGGTTGTCAAAATCGCGATCCTGATCGTAGGATCGTACGATCCTATGATCCTATGTATGAAAAACGATCCGGATCGTAAAAGGATCGTATTTTGGGTAGGATCGCAGGTAAAATCGTAAAATCGTAGGTAGGATCGTACGATCGAGATCCGATCCGATCCTACCTTCCTTTAAAAAAATTTTTTCAAATGAAATTTTTTTACCATTTTATGTCTTTTACCCTTTACCAATCTACTATTTATCATTTTTATTGTGACTTATGACTAATATTTTAAAGTTTTTATAACTTTTGAACGAAAAATTAAATGTTTGAAATATTTTTTATGATTAATATTATAAATTAGAATTATATTCTATTTTGTGGGATCTTAGGATCTCGATCCCGATCTTACGATTCCGATTTTGCAAACCCAAAAACGATCCTAGGTAGGATCCCGATCTTGACAACCTTGATACAAACATAAATCAAAACCTATTCCCTCGAACCTATATTAATCTTTATATTTCTCTTCATAGTTTTTTTTTTTAAAAAAAAAACTCTAAAGAAATAACAAATTCATTACAAAATTCTAAGTTGTTAACCATTAGTGAGACTGTTGTTAAGTAAAATGTAATGTTTTAATTTTTAATGAAATGTCATGTTTTTTAGTTAATATTTATTTTTTATTTTATGTGATTTTTATATTTTTGAATTTAAAAAAAAAAAAGAAAAGAAAAAAATTGATTGGTAAAACATCACCACACCTAGTTCATAGGTAAAATTTATAAAAACTGTAAAAGCTTATATAACACCTACATGACACACTTTTACCACGGGCAATAAAATTTAAAAATAAAATAAATAATAATAATAATAATAATAATAATAATAATAATAACCTAAGCCTTTAGCCTTAACGAATCTACATAACCTACTTTAAAAAATAATACATTGCAACCTATATTATACAATTGATTATTCATAAATGTATAGCCATCATCGCCCCTTCATAAGTCAAAAGGGGTTGCGACACATTTCATAGAGAGTCAAAAAGGGGTTGCTAATTTGCTAAAATTATTATTGTTATTGTTATTATCATCGCAATTAACACATCAATCACAATTCACAATACACAACTTGCTTTTCTAGCTTGTTTTCCAGTAGTCTACATGAATAACAATAATATGGTGTTCTAAAACTCATAATACAAGATAAAAACTCATCATCAATCATCAATTCATCATGATCATCATCTATTTGTGTTGTGCATGAAAGTTTTCAATGCTTCC